CTCCAAAAAATGTTCAACGTTTCTCGAGGATGATTTGGCAAATTCGATAGAAATGTTCAAGGTACATCCAAGAGCCTTCTTCTAGGAATCACATCTGTCGAGATAAAACCCAAGTGCATAAGCCCTGGTCAGAACCCAAGATGCTACTGCAGGATCCCCTTCCACAATAGAAAAACCTGGGAACAACCTGCATTTTTAGGACAAGGTAGCATCTACACTAATAAAAGGGTAATATGCTAATTAGACCAAACATCTTCCAGATGACCTTCTGGACAAAACCATGTTGGCGGGGCAAAGGCAGAGGAGGTTAGAGGTGATCAGGCAGGCAGGGGAGAGCAGTTAGGGGGATCAGATCACAGGCAGACAAGTGTTTAGGAGCCAGAGGTCCTGCAGGGTCCCAAATTGGAGAGAGTGCAGGCCGAGCTGAGGGGAACCTCTTCCCATGCATGAATTTTGTACACCTGGCCACTAGTGTTTAAGATAAGTTTATTTTTTATTTTATTATTTTTTTAATCTTAATCTTTATTGTTCAGATTGTTACAATTGTTTCTCCCCCCCCCCCCATAGCTCCCCTCACCTGGTCCCCACCCCACCCTTTGCCCTTACCTCCCCCCCACTGCTGTCCTCATCCATAGGTGTATGATTTTTGTCCAGTCTCTTCTTATACCACTCACACAGACATCCCTTTCCCCCTGAGAATTATCAATCCCCTCCCATTCTATGCCCCTGATTCTATTATATTCACCAGTTTATTCAGTTCCTCAGATTTTTAATTCACTTGACTTTTACATACACTTGTTGATAGATATGTATTTGTTGTTCATAATTTTTGTCTTCTTTTTCCTCTTTTTAAAGAATACCTTTCAACATTTCATATAATATTGGTTTGGTGGTGACGTACTCCTTTAGCTTTTTCTGATCTGTGAAGCTTTTTATCTGCTCTTCAATTCTGAATGATAATTTTGCTGTGTAGAGTAATCTTGGTTGTAGGTTCTTGCTATTTATCACTTTGAATATTTCTTGCCACTCCCTTCTGGCCTGCATGGTTTCTGTTGAGAAATCAGCTGATTGTCATATGGATGCTCCCTTGTAGGTAACTAACTATTTTTCTCTTGCTGCTTGTTAAGATTCTCTCTTTGTCTTTTGCTCTTGGCATTTTAATTATGGTGTGCCTTTGTGTGGTCCTCTTTGGATTTCTTTTGTTTGGGGTTCTGTGTGCTTCTTGGACTTGTAAGTCTATTTCTTTCACCAGGTGGGGGAAGTTTTCTGTCATTATTTCTTCAAATAGGTTTTCAGTGTCTTGCTCTTTCTCTTCTTCTGGCACCCCCATAATTCTGATGTTGGTACGTTTGAAGTTGTCCCAGAAGCTTCTTAACACTATCTTCAACTTTCTGGATTCTCTTCTCTTCTTGCTTCTGTGGAGGAGTGTCCCTTTCCTCTTTGTATTCCAAATCTTTGACTTGTTTCTTGCGTTCTTCTAGTCTGCTGTTGGGTCTCTGTATAATATTTTTTATTTCAGTCAATGTATCTTTAATTTCTAGTTGGTCCTTTTTCATATCCTCAAGGTTCTCATTAAATTTATTGGCCTTTTTAGGAAATTCTTGAAAAACCTTATAACCATGGTTTTGAACTCTATATCCAGTCTTTTGTTCTCCTCCATTTCTTTTGTTTGAGATCTGTTTCCTTTTCTCAGCATTTTCACTGTTTCCCTGAGTTGGTAGGGTCACTTTGTGAGCCTGGGTGTTCTATACGGTTCAATGGGTCAGCCTCACAGTTGCCTGATGTGGACACTCTTGGTGCACCCCTTTGTGGACTGTGTACAGCCTTGTTCTAGTTAAGTCTTGATTGTTGTTGGTGTCACTGAGAGGAATTGACCTCCAGGCCAATTGGTCTGGGGACCCGCTGTGTCTATAATGGAAGAATAGCTATGCTGGAGGAGGACTTGTTCCTGTAGGTCTTTGGTGCTTACTGAGTCTGTCTCTTGAACATGTTCCTTATGAGAGTAGTTGAAATCTGGTGTCGTCTCACACCGTCCACTAGATACACTAGTTTCTGGATCTCCAATGGGGTGCAGTTCAGCTATTGTCTGAGGTCACCCAGCAGGAGCTACCTCAAGAATTATAATTTTGTCCTCTTTGCTTGGGACTTGGCTGTTTTGTTGCTGGAGCGGCAATGTCTTTTGTGAAGCTTCCACAATACAAGTCATTTATATGCAAAAGCAGCTCTGTGGTGCCTGGGCGGGTCTGTAGAATGTGCAGGGCGGTTCCTGTGGCGAGTACTCAGGGAAGGGCGGGGTCTCAGGACATCATTAGGCTGGGGCGTGGCAAACAGCGATGGGTGCTGTCAGCCTTCTCTGCCCTTCCGTGTTTCCAAGTCCCCACATTTCCAAGTCGTCGTGTGTGTGTGTGTGTGTGTGTGTGTGTGTGTGTGTGTGTCCTGTCCTTGAGACCCAGCGCAGTAAACAATGATTGCTGTGTGTACCTCTGCAAGAGAGTCACTCTCACTTTCGGACCGATGGTCAACAGAATAGCTTCTCCCTGTAGGCGTCTGGGTCCCCCACGTGATCCCAGAAACTGGATTTCAAAGTGATCTGGAGTTTGTTTCCCTTCGGGTTGATAAAAAGCCACATGCCCAGTTGTTCACCACCAGCCTGATTCACATACCTCTGTACCTAGGCTCCTCAGCTTTTCAGCTCTTGCGCTCCTTTCTCTTTCAGCCAGCCTTCCTGTGTTTTTGGGTGATAGACATCCTGTATATTAGTTGTAGTTTTGAAATTGTTGTGCGAGGCCGCAGACCAGTTGTTTACTTATGCCGCCATCTTGGTTTCTCTATTTAAGATAAGTTTATAAAAGATGTACATATCCCACACTTAATTTGAGTTTGTATAAATGGTGCTATTCATTACTGATTTTTGAGTCCTAAGAGCATACCTTGGTATATCAGATCAATTCAGTTTTAGATAAGGTTTTACATGAATTAAACTGATAAAAAAAATCTTTATTGGCAATTTTCAAAAGGACAGACAGTGGTATATGTTTATGTAAATGAAATCTGCATAATATATATATTCTGACAGCAACTGGGACTGAAGATGCTATTAGCTGAGAACATTAATTTGATGACTTCTGAAAAGATACACAAAGAAGCAAAATCCAAAATGTATCTGTTATCGTTGTTTAGCAGCTGTTACCAATCAACATGGAGACTTTGGTTGGGTTTGAGGCACTCTAGGGCAGTGGTCAGCAAACTGCGGCTCGTGAACCACGTGACTCTTTGGCCCCTTTAGTATGGCTCTTCCTCAAAACACCACGTGCGGATGCTCACATACAGTGCAGTTGAAACTTTGTGGCCCATGAGCTGAAGTTGGTTTTCAGCTCTCAAAGAAATTTCAATCATTGTACTATTGACTAATGAGTTTACTGACCACTGATATAGGCGGTCTGTTAACAACTCTGATTTGTTACACTGCAGTTTTGTCTCCAGATGCTCTCAGTTTTACTGATTGATATTATGGAAGAGTCAATGAATGGCAGATCCCTGTCACTGCCTTCACTCAACTTTACCTCTCAAAAGGTTTATTGTCACCTACATTATTTCTTGGGAAGCAGCAACCTGAAAAACTCGTGATTGGTGCAGTTGGCTGATGGATTACCTAGTTGAAGTTAGTTTTTGACAATAATGTATTTTATCAGCATATTTTCTATTTCTGAATTAAAATGGACATGTTTATTTAAATGTGATTTGGGAACCACCGTAAGGTACACCTGTAGCTCTTAATTTTTCATGGTTCAGCATTCTGTCATCTCCTCCTGAGTATTTTTTCAGGTATTTTTTAAAGAATTCTATCTTCTATCTGAATAGTCTATATATTATTCCTGCCTTCCTTGAAAAAAAACTCTACCTCTGCCTTATCTCGTTGCATTCTAGCTGTTTCTTTAAAAAGAAATTCTTTTTAATAGTGTAAAACAACAATCATTTGTTTATACTAAATCTGTTACTAGTCAAGTTTGTCTCTTATTTCCTAAAATTCTTCTATAAATATTTAGAAGGCCCTAGTGGTTGCCGGCTGAGGCCTCCCTTCCCTGGTTGCTGGCTGCTGGCTGGAGCCCTCCTTCATTCTGTGCCACCCCCTGGTGGTCATCACAAGTCATAGTGAGTGATCAAACTTCCAGTTGGTCGAACTCCTAAAGGGTCACTTTGCATATTAAGCTTTTATATACATAGATGATTTTGTTCTTTATATCTTTATCTGTGTTATGTTCTTATTTCCATGGAAATTTCTGAGGAATTTCTAAATAAATTCCTTAAAAGGGATTATCTATGGTAGGCAGTCCCTTGCTGAGCTTATATGTCCTTGCATTTATCAAAAAGAAAATGAATGCCGAGACCGGTTTGGCTCAGTGGATAGAGCGTCGGTTTGGGGACTGAAGGGACCCAGGTCCGATTCCGGTCAAGGCCATGTACCTTGGTTGCGGGCATATCCCCAGTAGGGGGTGTGCAAGAGGCAGCTGATCGATGACTCTCTCTCATCGATGTTTCTAGCTCTCTATCTCTCTCCCTCTCTGTACAAAATCAATAAAATATATTAAAAAAAAGAAAAAAAAAAGAAAATGAAGTTCTTTCTGGATGAAACACAAAAGAATTATACTGGAAGGATGATCAGAGATTTATTTATTACTTGCCATATATCCTATATAATAAAAGGCTAATATGCAAATTGTCTCCATAAGTGGGAGTTTGACTGACCGGGAGTTAGATGTACACTGACCACTAAGGGGTGATGACGGCAGGCAGCTGGGGGAAGGGAGGCCCCGGCCAGCAGCCAGCAGCTGCTAGGGACTCTATCCACGCACAAATTTCATGCGCTGATCCAGAAGGGTACAGAAGTTTTTATGTGTGTATGTATTCAATTTCGTGGGCCCAGGAATTGTCCATTGGCCAATCCTCTGACTGTAACTGATCAAGAGAATCAGTTTTTCTCTTTTCCATATTTATCACAGGTGGAGGAGTTACTGATGGCCATGGAGAAGGTAAAGCAGGAACTTGAGTCCATGAAAGCAAAACTGTCCTCTACTCAACAGTCTCTGGCAGAAAAGGAAACTCATTTAACCAACCTTCGGGCAGAGAGAAGGAAACACTTGGAGGAGGTTCTGGAGATGAAGTAAGTGTTTTTAATTTTATTCTTCATACACGTGCTTATTAGAAGTACTTCTCCTTGTTGCTTTCTTCTTCTGGCCTTGTTTATTAGCCCTGACACACATAGCCTATATTTAATGCTAACTTGTATTTCTCACTTCCTAGAACAAATTTGGAACAAATCCTGGTCAAACAGAGTTATTTTTACTCCTCTTCATTGAATTTCAAAGTCCTCTATAGTAAATGTATCTGTATCCAAATCTATCTCTGAAATCTTCTGGAAAGTTTTGGCAAATCGTTGAGCTTATTGATATGAATATTGGTCCCAAGGTCATATAATGCCTAGACAGTTTTTAAAAATATTTCTTTATTATAATCATTTCCAAAGGTATACAAAGGTAAAGATAATAATATAATGAATCCCCATACAGCTATCTCCCATATTTAACAATTAACATTTTTTTGCACTCACCAGTCAATATTTTTTTATCAAAAATAAATAATAATATCTTTATTATTCTAACAGTAAAGATTAAATTCCAGTTATAATTCCATTCTTTCTTATATTTCCAACGTTCATCTTTGATGTATTTTCCATTGAGTTTTAAGTATACTATTTGGTGGGAAACAAATTCTTATTCAATATATCTTTCCCATAACATGCTGTTTTTCTTTTTTTAATTATTATTGAAAGTATTACATATGTCCCCTCCCATTGTCCTCTCCCAGCCTGTTCCTGCCCCCCAGTCTTCACCACCCCCCCTCATTATCTGTGTCATTGGTTATGCTTTTATGCATACAAATTCTTTGGTTGATTTCTTACCCCCATGTCCCCTTACTGTCTATTCTTCCCTGGCTTTCCTCTGAGGTTTGAAGGTCTGTTCAATGCTTCTGTGTCTCTGGATTTATTTTTGTTCATCAGTTTATGTTGTTCATTTTATTCCACAAATGAGTGAGATCATGTGATACTCATTCTTCTCTGACTTACCAGTAAATTTTTACAAAATTGTCACTTTTAGCCGAAACCAGTTTGGCTCAGTGGATAGAGCATTGGCCTGTGGACTGAAAGATCCAGGGTTCGATTCTGGTCAAGGGCATGTACCTGGGTTGTGGGCACATCCCCAGTGGGGGGTGTGCAGGAGGCAGCTGATCGATGGTTCTCTCTCATCGATGTTTCTAACTCTCTATACCTTTTTTTTTCTCTGTGTAAAAAATCAATAAAATATATTTTTAAAAATTGTCACTTTTAGCAAAATTTTGCTGTATATATTTTCCTACTTGCCTCACATCTTGTGGTTTTATGAGGTAATAATTTTTGCTAAGCATATATACATATACTAGTACATAATAGATGCTTTTTTTTTTTCCTCTGTGACTTTGAAAAATTCTGGTTTCCTCCTCAGAATAAGTATCTCTTTTGAAAGTCCCATAGGACTATCTCCTTTATACTCCCAACCCTCACCCCTACCTAATTATTCTACTCTCATTTTACTGAAACCAAGTCTGTCCTGGGATCCCTCAGTTTCCTTTTTCTCAGCAGTTATCTGTATTTGTGTGTGTTTTGTCTTCTGCCTCAGATGAAATATTTTTTCTTCTTCATAAAGCTAGCTTTCTTATCTTTATCACATATTTTTAAGCACTGGTTCCTCCTCTTATGTCTTCCTCCATTAATTTCTTTCTCACATAATCTTTGCTCACTTTCTATTGGTTTCTTCTTCTCTTCATAAATATGCAATATCTCTGACCTAATATAAACAAACTTTTCTCAGCCCAGCTAGTGCTTTAAGCTAACATTATATCTTTTTTGCTTCTTTGAAGTATCAATGAATGTTGAATACCAGGATTATAGAGTAGTAGATCTTGCCATCGTACCTTAGTATGAATTTTCTTGGCACATGGTTATTGTGATGTCATGACAGTGACCCAAGAATTGAGGAAGAACATGTTGGGGTATCACCTGCTCTTATTATGGCCACACTGCAAAGTTTAGAGATTCTAATCTCTTAGGAAAGTATTGCAGTTGATCTGGGCTTGGAAGTGATGAATATTTAAAGCAGAAATTGATATTCTGGGGGAATAGGGAGAGGTTAGGATTATCATAGCATCATGAGAGAAATGCTAGCAAATATCCTTTTTAGGAGCAATTTTGTGCAAGTGATGTAAGCCAAGTTTTTTGTCATTGGTAATATAACTTGAAGCTCAATATTTTGGAGGTGGAGGAGTAGACATAACTCTTGGATGATAAAGAATAAAGTCATTTTGAACACAAAAGATGCCGAGACATTGAAGCATACAACAGACTTACCTATTTCATGGGAAAGGGTAGGGGGACAGGAAAAGATTAACCAATGGACTTATATGCATATATGCATAACCCGTGGACAGATGATAGTGTGGGGAAGTCTTGGGGATGGTGTGGGAGTAGGGTGAAGGGGGACAGTGAGGGGGGCATCTATTAGTACTTTCACCAATAAAGATAAATTAAAAAGGAAAGAGTAAAGTCATTTCATTTGAAGAGGTCTGGGAACCATTCCTAGAACATGGTAGAAAATAGAGTTAAGAAGAAAATTAAATCAAGGTTTAAAGTAATTATGAAAATGGAATAAGGATGGATATAATTTGGGGGGAAACAAAGTATCATATGTGATTTTTCTAAACAGAAAATGGTCCTGCTGAAGCAACAGTGTGTGTGTGTGTGTGTGTGTGTGTGTATGTGTGTGTGTGTGTGTGTGTGTGTGTGAGAGAGAGAGAGAGAGAGAGAGAGAGAGAGAGAGAGAGAGAGTTTTGTTTGTTCTGTTTTCTCTATGTATTAATATCTTGACCTTACTTGTCAAATCTTTCCCACTCAGTTCAAATGACTATTTATAGCTAGGTAGTAGTATATTGTATAAAATTTTCCTTTATTATTAAGACTTCAAAAAGATAAGAAATTTTTAAAAACTATATTTTTATTGATTTCAGACAGGAAGAAAGAGGGAGAGAAAGATAGAAACATCAATGATGAGAGAGAATCATTGATTGGCTGCCTCCTTCACACCCCATACTGGGATTCAACCTTCAATTCAAGAGTGAATTAAAACCCTATTTTTATTTATGTATTTATTTATTTTTATTTTTTTAAATATACTTTTTATTGATTTTTTACAGATAGGAAAGGAGAGGGATAGAGAATTAGAAACCTTAATGAGAGAGAAATATTGATCAGCTGCCTCCTTCACACCGCTCACTGGGGATGTGCCTGCATCCAAGGTAGATGCCCTTGACCGGAATCGAACCCCGGACTCTTCAGTCTGAAGGCCACCGCTCTATCCACTGAGCCAAACCTGTTTCAGCAAAACCCTATTTTAAAATTAAATCTTTTAAAGTTTGGCATAAAAGTAAGTTTAATGTAATTATTCATAAAACTTAAGTGGAAAACTATACAATTAACCTAAGTGTAATTATGCAGAAAACACTGTGAATGAAGGATGGGCTCTGATAGAGAACTTCCTATTTCTTTTCACTATGAAGCTGACCACGGGAATATACATTTTTCTGCTACATTTGGGTCTCCTTTCCATATATTGAACAAGTTGTGCTAATCATCTGTCCAGGGCTGTGGGTGTCTCAGTTTCTACAACTTTGCTCAAATTTATGTAATACCTTAGTCAACAAAGAAAAAGAAATATAATGAGGGGACACAGTCACTAGGGGGGTGTGGGCATGTGCTGAGGGGTGGAGGATACTGGAGGGAGTTCAATGGGGTAAAAAGGAGACTTTACTATTTATAATATTTTAAACAATAAAACAAAGTAATACTGAAGAAAAAAGAAAAAAAATGTATTTCATTCTGATGTCAACTTGTAAGGAGTTTATTCCCACCAAATAATTCTGCCTGATATTGCCTCTAATTAGTTACGACAACTGGTAAGAACATACATCCCGGAATAAAGGAGACTGAGTCTGAATTCTCACTCAGTAACTTATGAGCTCTACTAATGGCTCGGTGCACAAAATATATGTGGGGGGGAGGGGGTATCCCTCAGCCCAGCCTGCACCCTCTCCAATCTGGGACCCCTCGGGGAATAACCAGCAGTCAGACTCTCACAATCCAGAACTGCTGGCTCCTAACTACTCACCTGCCTGCCTGATTGCCCCTTACCACCTATTTCTTGGCCTTGCACCCTGGACCCAGGATTCCCTCTTCCAGCCAACCATAGGCACCCAGGATTCAGGCTTCCCTCCCTCTAGTCAGCCATAGGCACCCAGGCTGGTTGCAGTTCCAGGGGATGGTGAGCAGGTGTCTTCACCTGGGCCGCAGCCCCAAGTGCTGGCGCCCCGGACCACAGGTTGGGTGGCTTCTCCATATCCCAGGCTGGCAGCTTCTCCATCTACTAGGCTGCAGCCAGCCTTAGGTGCTGGGGCCCGGTTTCTCCGTCTCCCCCAGGATGTGGGGCAGGTTGACGTGAGGCTTCTGCAGCTGGCTATGGCCTGGGATCAGGGGGTAGGTGGTTTCTTCGTCTCCCGGGCACACCCAGCCTAAGGTGCTGGGGCACGGTTCCTGTCTCCCCTGGGACATGAGGCGGGCAGACATGGGCGGGTGGCTTCTGTGGCCTGCGATCATGGGGCAGGCGGCTTCTTGGTCTCCTTGGCCATAGCCAGCCTCAGGCCTGGTGCCTGACTTCTCTGACTCCCATAGGCCTGGAGTGGCTGGGGGGCAGGGCTGCTGCTATCTTTGTCTAGTTAATTTGCATATTTGCTCCTGATTGGCTGGTGGGCATAGCGGAGGTACTGTCAAAAGCACCTTTTTCTTTTATTAGTGTAGATCTGCAGTTGGCAAACTGCAGCTTGCAAGCCACATGCAGCTTTTTGGCCCTTGAGTGTGGCTCTTTCACAAAATACCATGGCCTGGGTGAGTCTATTTTAAAGAAGTGGCATTAGAAGAAGTTTAAGTTTTAAAAATTTGGCTCTCAAAATAAATTTCAATTGTTGTACTGTTGATATTTGGCATTGTTGAATAATGAGTTTGCCGACCACTGGTGTAGA